CCGCCGCCCCCGCGCTGCCCAGCCTGGTCCTCTGTCCATCAATGGAGCTGTGGTGGGGGATGGTACCGCGCAGCCCGCCAGCCCCTCTGCCAGCTCACTGCTCCCCCCAGGCACCCCTCTTCCTCCCAGCGCCTGCCCGAGTCGCCTTGGGGGCAGCAGGAGGAAGAAGTAGAGGAGAAGGGCAAGAAAACCGCTGCCACTGTCCCTGCCGCCCCCGTGCTGCCCGGCCTCGCCCTCTGCCCATCTGATGGAGCCGCGGTGGGGGCTGGTGCTGTGTGGCCCACCAGCCCCTTGTCCAGCCTGACTGCTCCCCCCCAGGCACCCCTCTTGCCCCGGTGCCTGCCCGAGCTGCCTTGGGGGCAGTAGGAGGAAGAAGGGGAGGAGGAAGAGGATGGCAAGGAAACCGCCGCCAGCACTGGGTACCAGGAGGCGGCTCTCCTCTCCTATCTTTGCTGAATCTCCATCTTCCTTCCCGGCAGCCTGGACTCCGGTGCGCCTTCCTGGCCAGTGGGTCCAATGGTCAGGCTGGCTAGGGATTGCAGCGGCTGGTCTCCCTTGGACCACAGCTTGCGGGAGGGCTGGCAGAGCCTCCAGTGGGCCGCTCCCAACAGGGATCCCAGGATTTCCTAGGGCGGCTCCAAGGTCACAAGGCCCTGGCCGCGCTTCTCCCAGGAGGTGGGACACCCGGGCGCAGGGACAATCAGGAGCCCTGCAGGAGGTAAGTCCGCCTGAGAGAGAGAGAGAGAGAAGGGAAGCGAAAGTGCCTCTCTCTCTCTCTGCAAATGGCGGAGGAAGCCATGCGGAGACAGGTGTCTCGGTTCCTAAGACCATCGGAAATATGTGTTTTCCAATGGTCTTAGGTGACCCCTGCGACCCACAGGTTGAGAACCGCTGGTGTAGAGTATAAGGAAGTGTTGATGGGAACCTTAAATTTTTTTACAGTCAGTATTCCCAGTCCTACTAAAGAAATCCACTGATGGTTCCACAAAAGAAACCCAAAGAGGTTGTAGTTGAGTTGCATGTTACATAATTTAAGCATATATGTATTATGGATAAAAATAAGGAAGACAGGTCACAGCTATTCAGTTTGAAGAGTTAAGTCTGTAATAAAGAGTGATATTGTAACACATGGGTTCTCTGCACTGTATTTGAATGTGTTTTTTACCATTTTAGAAAGTCTGCTTCTTTTCCTGGATGCTTTGGAGATTTTATGTCTATTTTAGTAAAGATTTTGCTGTATGTTTCACAGATTTGCAATGGGTCAGCTTATAATTTTAATAAAATAAATAAATCTCCCCCTGGACCAGTAAGATGATGATATTAATCCTACCTTTTATGTATAATTCAAAGTGGCAAAAAAATTGTGTTCCTGCCTCCTCTAATTGTCACTGAAACTGTCTGGGTTGCCCCAATAAAACATTAAAGGGGAAATCATCCTGAATAATATTTTCATCCATTTTCAATATAATTCACTATACACTACAGTTATATTGTAGTGTAGTATATTGTTATATTCTCTCCACAGCCTACCAAGTATTATTCCTATTCCCCCCCCCTTTTAAAAAACATTGTTATAATTATGTAGTTTTTCTTTTGCAAAAATAATACTTTTTAAAAGGAAGGGTAAATTAGATCAATTCCCTCTTACTGCAACAAAATTTTCCAATATCCCAAAGTGCTGGCTGAATAGTCTTGACAACTCCAGAAGAGCCTCAGGATGGTGATTTCATTTCCAGAAGTTTCCAAAACCACAAAGGTGGAGCGCACGTCTCCAGATTAAAGTGCTGTACACAGCAATTATTATTTTGCTGGAAATGGAATAACTGTATCTCTAGTAGCTAAGAAAATCCGACCTGTGATCAGCTTGTAGGAGACTATTTGGATTTAAATTTTGTTATGTTTTAATCTTAAATACATTTTTCTTGGCAATAAATATGTGCAAAGCTACCTTTTACACATTTCATTAAAAGTTCTTTACTAGTTGCTAGGCACACATTTTCAAAACCTCACTAGCTACAATAGATTTTGGCCCTCTCTTTTAAATATTATTGAAATTATTCCTTGAATCTACTCTTGAAAAACATATCCTTTTCCTGTTGTAATCCACTCTAGAAAGATAATCTTGCTTTCTGGTATGTACTTGCTTTATGAAGTGAATAACTAAAATGGAGTAAACATGCTAACAGCAAAAAGAAACCAAGCTGCACTTATATTAAATCAAATGTCTATTATAACTTGGAACAGTAAGAAGGCTGCAGTAGGGTTATAGCCAAGAAAGTCTAAATGAAAGCATTCGTTAACAAGAAGCACTGAAAATTTTCTATTGCAGGAGGGAAAATATTGAGAGGAGCATATATAGGCAGATGTATTCAAAAATATTAATAGTTAATAGAAGAAGACTAGCTAGTTAAAAAAAAGACAGTTGAGTCATATGAACTGCCAGTGATTTTTCTGGTTTCATATCACAGTTAATAAAAGTTAAATATACATTAACTACAATATAAACATATTTTGTATAAACCACGTATACAGTCATCACCAAGAATACTCACATGTCATTCTGAATGAAACTTTATAATAATTGTCATATTTTGCATTTCAGAAGCGTGAAAGAAAATTAAAAGGAGAGTGCATTATAGGAATAAAAGTTCATCCCTCAGTTATGGCACTATCAAGAGACCCTATGCCACTGAGGTAAGTAGCAGAGAAATGATCTAATGCTAATATTAAAAACCAAAATAGGCCACCCAGTTTGTTTAAATTGAGGTCTGCCTAGGAAAGAATGTAGTATTTTATTTACTTGAACCTGTTTCCTTCCAGGTGAATTTCTAATCATTCAGTCTACTTCCTGATTTGGAATTTAGCTAAGGAGAAAATTACTTAGAAGACTAATTCTCTTCATCTGCCTTCAAGTAGATGAAGGAAACACCCTTCCCACATTTTTGCTGTTAGAAATTGTTACAGTTACATATATTTTGGGCAAAACCTGATTTAAAAATAATGAGTATATTGTTGTCACATCAAATCTTGTTTAAACTTTGTTTTTTTTTAAAAGCAAGGTGATTTTTTTTTAATATGTAAAAGCAGAATGTGGATTCAAGATATGAGTTAGATTAAGATAAGTTAATAGCCAGCTGAATCTTTCAAACAACATTTAACATCATCAATATTTAGCAATGAAGATTTGAATTTTTATTTCATTTTAATTGCATGTTTTATCATGTTTTACATTTTGTATTTTACTAGTTTCACTTGCCACATTCAGGTGTTATAAACCTCCTGTTTATATAAAATTATACATTTTATAAATGAAAATAAAATTAAAAAGGCAATAATCTATGTCCAATGTGAAAGAAGTGATAATTTGGTGCCTAACTATTTAACAACCAGACTTCTTTCTCTCTCTTTTTTTTTCCTTTTATTTCCAAAGAGGAAAAAGGTATAGTTAGGTGAGATCCTGCTTTTAAAGCTTAGGAAAACAATATGAAATAATGCTCAGTTCTAAAGTAGTTCTCAAACACTCAAAATAACTATAGAAATGTTAGTCTTCTGAGCAAAAATGACAAGTCAGCTTTTGTTAGTGAGTTGAAACACAATGAATTTATGATACTTATGTTGGCACAGTGGAAATATATCTTCTGAAATAATAATAGTAATTTAATTTAACCCTGGATAACCACAGAGAATATTTTTCATATGCATATGAATATTTACATAGATGGCATTTTATTTTGTGTTGTAGGTACATCATAGTTCATTTGAAACTGTAAACTAAAGTCTGTTACAGACTCTTTTATTATATTTTCAAAAATTACCCCAATAAAATCTATAAATTTATTTTTTCACCTTAGCAGTTAGACCTTTCCCAAGGCATCCAATTCCTCAAGCTGGAATTTTGTTTCCTTGACATTTCATGTCCTTGGATTCTCTGTTGCTCTGGAAAATCCTTTCCATTCTGTACTGCCTGTTAAAACTCTGGCATTTCCCTGTAGAAAAAAAAAATGCTTTCAAATTCATTTCAAAGTTCTATGATACTCTAAAAGTTAAAGCTGAAAACAGGGAGACCTGTTGTTTAATATAACATTGCTCGGCTTTTTGGTTTTTCTGGCATGGTACAGAAAACATCCATTTGGGCAAGGGAATTGCAGTTGCAGCAAAGACATATTTCCTTCCATTCAGAAATTAGAAAAATTAGGCGCCCCCCCCCCCAATCCTGAAAGAAAAAAAATAATTATGATTGCTCTTCTTGTTATTAAACCTGTAATGATGGCTTTAAAACACAGGAATAAAACCAAACTATGAAAGAATGATAAATCAGGATTTTATACAATACATTTCCTTTCAGAATATTTTAAAATGAAAAACTGGACCAGAACTGGTCAAAATATTTGGGACTGTCTTTTTAGGTGAACATATAGAAAATTTTAATTTGCTGCTGTTGTATGGCTTAAAAAATTTAAATAAGTTTATATATGTGGTGATCTGTTTTGATCTAACAATGAACTGTTGCTAAATCTGGAATTCAGAATTTCTGAAACATTCCAATGACATATAAAAATGCTATGAATGTTTCCTTTTAAAAGGACATTTAGTTTTTTTAAAAAAAAGTCATGGGCACTTAATAGATTAATAGTTGGGGGGGAACTATGCATGGTTCCAGGCTCTGCTTCTTCGCACTGCATTTGCCTAAGATTATACAAGAAGTTTTGTTTATCAGCTGAGGGTTTTAATTTATTTGATTAAAAGAATCTTATTAGGTACTATGGTACAAAGCTTGCATGCACAGTTAGGTTTCATTGGAATGGTAGAACTATTATTTTAATACAAGTTCTTGCATTTTAATTATATTTATTCCAACTACTTTTGCTTTTTTTCTTTATTTTTAGGTGTATGGTTTGGTACTATAAAGCTACAATAATGCAATGTAGTAAAAAGAAATATTTTACCTGTATCGTATTAGAAATGTTTCATTCAAATCTTCTTCTAAAGGAGAGCATAGCAACATAAATCTGAAGCATATTACAACTTCAAGGCCTTATTTTTAATATCCGTATTACAGACATGAAAAAGAACACAATTAGGCTCCAGGAAAGCGACGTGGAATGGATAGCTAGACAACCAACTTACAGTATATACATTCTAAACAATTTTGCCACAGTTAAAAGGTATTTATATTCTGATGCAGATAAAATTGAACATGTCAACACTAATGCATTTTTCTAGGAGAATCACTACTTTCACAATAATTTCCATGGAAAATTTGTGTGCACATGCTGTAATAGACACATTTATAACATCAAAAGGGTTCAATTTTCTTTTCAATCATACCTCTGTATGAATAGCTTTTCCTATTGAATTTAACAATAAGGAACATTACCAGAGTCTAAAGGATGGGATACTTCTGCTTGCTCTTATGAAAGTATGTCAGACAATATATAATATATCCTACAATAGATCTGGGTTAACAGCTCTTTTACATAGGTTTTCTTTCTAATACACTTGTGTCAGCAGAATGCCATTTTTATTTAAATTTGTCTGTGAGATCAGCTACATTTCAATCTCTGGTTAACTCTCAATGTTATTAAAAGAGTATTCAAACGTTATTTAAAAAGAGACCCAGGGCATCTGTATCAAGAAATTAACATAAAATGTTTCTTAGAGGTATAGATTTCAGCTCAAAATTAGCAGCCGTTTGTTCTGCTCTTGAGTCACTTGAGGAAACAAGATTTTATAAATAGTGGTTTTAAAATGTTACTACAGTGATTTAAACTGGGCATTTTTTTTTTTTTTCATTTTAAGTGAGGTGCTCAGAAAGGTGTGTTATTTCGTTGCAGTCAGTAAAAATAAAGCTCTCTTCTTCTGGCTGATGGTACATTTAATAACTAACATTGGATTCTTTAATTACTTGTCAGTTCAAAGCAATAGAGTATAAATCACACACACTTACCAACTGGGGACTTTTCTTACTCCAACACTTTGACAGAGCCTGTAGCAGAAAATTAAAAAACAACAATGTCCAGGTTTATTAGACAACGGGGTTTAATATTTTGAGTAACAAATATATCTGCAAAATAAACCCAGTACAGGCTGAATTTATTCCACTTACATTTTGGTCAGCCATACTCTTGTGGCAAGATGGATGAAAAATAAATTAAATAAACAAACAAAAATCTTATGGATTATGAAATGATTATTGGTATTCTTTTTTCCAAGGAGAAAAGAACTTTTTTCCCAGGAGAAAAGAACAGCAATAGAAAAGAATCTCCAAGGATTTTCTCCAAGGAAAATCCATGTATCACCCTAGCTTAATATATAGCAACGTCCTTTCAGTTATATCAGGGAACAAGTAAGGTCTGCAAGTCATTTTTGATCAGGATTTCTTGAAGGACCCCTTATGTGAATTTGAATTTTCAGATATCAGTGAAAATCTACAGTATTCTGTCCATCTTACTTAAAATCCAAATATGATCCTGGTCTCTGTATGGCCTATAATTCAAGGGTGCACATAAGACATACAAAACAGGTAGAGCTTCATTTGTACACTCTGACCGCCATCTTGAATTTTTTTACCATGCCCTCTAAACATTCTTGCTATGTAGGCGGTTTACAACATTAATGCTAAAATTTAAGACATTTTAAAACAACTATAATTGTTTTTAAAAAAGGAAGTTGAGCAAAATCAAAGGCAAAAATGTCCTACCTAGTCACCAGTAATCCCATCTACAGGCCTGCAGTGGCACATGGATTACATCAGTTTGATCCTGGGCAAATGCTTTCCATGAAGGCAATGGTTAAGGTAATGATGGCTCCATACAGTCCCAGATTCTACTGGGATTCCATAGTTTTAAACCTCTAGCATTGATTAAAGTAGATGTATGAAACTGGTTTAGATAAAGGACTTTCTTGCATGCATGCTGATTCAGGAATTCGGGGAGTTGAAGTCCACAAGTCATAAAAGAGCCAAGGTTGCCTACCCCTGGTATAGATAATCCTTGACTTACGACCACAATGGGATTGGAATTTCCATCACTAAGTGAGTTGGTTGCTAAATGAGTCACCACTAATTCTGCAACCTTTTTTGCTGCAGTCATTAAATGAATTGCATGGTTGTTAAGTGAATCTGGCTTTCCCCATTGACATTGTGATCACATGTTCCTGGGACACTGCAACTCTCATAAATATATGCCAGCTTCCAAGCATCTGACTTTTGATTGTGTGACTGTGACAGTTGTAAGTCACTTTTTTCCAGTACCGTTGTAACTTGAAATGGTCACTAAATGAATGGCTGTAAGTTGAGGATTACCGTTATAGACCAGCTTTATATCCACATTTTAAATGTTTTGTTTTTTCCAGATTTGCCACAAGTATCTACTAAACCAGTGTTTCTCAACCATCTGGGGAATTTGGGGAGCTGAAATCCACATATTATTTCAAAAACACTGTATTAGATTATAGTACTGTAAGTTTTCATTATTATACATTTTCCATTAACACTTCCCAATACTGAGGTGTTTTGAAATACATATTAAAAACTGTATTTCCCAAAGCTCTCTTTCTCCTATTTCAGTACCTTTTCAGCAAAAATCCATCAATATAATCTAGGGATCTGATTGCAAGAAATATTTCAGAAAAACACAAGCATTTCTCAAAGGGGAGCTTGGTGTGAATGACCTTGATTGTTCTGCCCCATCTACCTTCAGATTCAGGAGCGATCACCAATTTGCCTTTTATCTTCTCAGCCAGCTTAGTTTATCAAGGACTTCATCCTCTCCTCAGAAAACAGTGAAATAAAGAAGATTATGTTCAACAGTACTGGTTGATTTTTGTACCATTTTAACCAGACAAAAAGAAGGGTGGGTTTTTCTTCTCAATAAATAATTTCTCTCATCTGCAGAGCAGTTGACATTAAGAAATTTACTTATTACATATTATTCTTTCAGTGTTGAAAAACGGAAACGGATATCAAAAGTGATATCCTACCCCACTCCCTACCTTGCCTTATTGTCAGATTGATGGTCTTTGTTCACATTGTCATTCTCTGCTAGCTCTGCCATTATCTCTCTCCTGTAAGTTCCCCCCTTTTCATTTTTATTATATTTCTTGCTTTGCTTTCTTGCTACTCAGAGTAGAAGCATTATAAAAACAAGAATGAACTCAAAGACAGTCATCAAAGGTCCAGTTCTGAAATTTTGAAACCAGGGAGAATTCATTCAAAATGGGAAGGGGAACTAGAAACTACGGTGAACTCTCCGAAAGCTAAAAGAAATTGAGTCTGTAAAATCTACTCTGTATTCTACTGCCTTTATGTAGCAAACACAAAGGCCTTCCATTAGCTCCAGTTACTTTTGTTTGCTGAATATGTGGAAGAGCTACAAGTTCCTCTCACACCAGTACTCAATATTTTGATGGCAGGATGTTAAAAGCTACTAGGCAAGGAGTGGATTGGGTTTGTGGCATTAATTGTCCACATTTACAGAGGAAGCTTCACATTGCATTGGCAATCCAAGTGCTTAAGAGCATTCTACTAGATGAGAATAGTAATTATCTCCACACAGAGGAGAAACTGAAAGAGTAGCCTTTCACTAGATGGAACCAAAGTTTCTCCCACCTGGTGCCCTCCAAATATGTTGAGACTACAACTTCCAGAGTTCCCAGCCAGCAGGGGTTTGACCTGAGGTAGAGGAAGTTCAATTTAAGTAAGCCAATGCTTTATGTTCCACATTGCAATAATTGGTAAGCCTTATACCACTTTAAAAAAAAAAATCAAGAATTCACCAAAAGTTGCTTCATGGATGTTCTTGGATATCTTGAAGAACTTTGTTATGAATCCTTGAATTCAGCTTCATCCTTTTGGTATGTGACGGCTTCAAATCTGCTTCTATCTGTCTCAGTCATGGGCTGAGCACAAATGGGTATGATATGTTCAAAGCAGCTGTTATTCACAGATAACATTCTTCTGAACTTGGAGGTTCTACCAGTTCTACTAGTTATGATGAGAAACCTATTTGCTGGGAATGTCTTTCATTCCCATACCCCACTTAAGTTAAAAGCTGTTACAACCTGTCCCAAAGACGCTTTTCCAAAATGCAACTCTGCTTTCTTGTTTTTTTTAAATGTTTCCCTTCTCACTCAAGAAGCTTCTTCAGTTCTAACTGAACTTTCAAGGAAAAAAAATAGAAAGTTTAGTTGCCTTTTGGAAAAGCACCTTTGGGGCAAGCATGACCTTGAGGATTGAGAATCTCCATAGATATCTGATACCACATGCTAAGTCAGAATGTTCCCAATATAACTGTGTATTCTGTGAAAAGCTACTTTGACTCATCTCTCCTTCATCTACTGCCAATCATTCTCATTTACAGCCCATCTACCCCAACAGGCAATGGAAAAGAGAAGCAACAAATGCATGTGTATTTTGGAATTAATGGAGTGACTTATGCTCAGTTGCGACCCTTATCCAGTTCTGTAAGCATCAATATTAATAGACAGAGCTAAACACAGTTTAGTTCACTTCATGAGCTTGGCTCAGCAACTGTAAAATGGGTGGATTTCAACTCCCAGAATTCCTCAGTCAGCAGGCTGGCTAGGAATTCTGGGAGTTGAAGTCCACATATATTAAAGTTGTTAAGGTTGGGAAACACTAGCTTAGACTTAGTCTTACCTCTCTGTGTCCATATTCAGAACAGCTAGAATTCAGGCAAGGGATTCAACATTAGGTTTTCTTTTCCCAGCAGGAAAAAGAAAGGAGCCAATGACAGCAAATGGAAACCGAAGTGATCCCTGGGAGCTATTTGCCTTTCATCAGATTTCAAATTTTGCTAGGTAGCAGCAAGCTCAAGTAAATAGCTGCCTTGAAAAAGTAAGTGATGGAAAGAAGGATAAACCACTAGAGGCAACAAGAAAATTAATAGCTAAAGCCTGTCTCAGGAGCTTCTATCTCACAGAGTCTGTAGGTCCTTCCTGGTTCATCAAACTAGCTACATTTCGACTGAAATAGTCCCCTCTTGTAATTCTGTTTCTGGTTTTCTTGATTTACTAGAAATGTGTGAAAGCCAAAAAAATGATTCTACCGTGCTGAGAACACATCATTTTTTTAAAAAAAAAAAGTACTCTTCTAAATAGTACTATTTTTAGAAAATTTTGTCTTCCAAGATTTCAGGAGCCAAAGCTGAAGAAAAGAAAAAGAAAATAATACAGATTAGAGTTAAAAGAATATTTGCGTTGGAAAGACAGACAAATCACCCAGCCAGATCCAAATTAGACGACGCATTTTGTTAGATACTGCAAGGCTAGTTTTGCCTATAACAGGCTTGAATTATGGAAGTTTTGGTATAAATATGTAGTTGAATAAAAGTTGAATAAAAGTTGTATATGATGGATGTAACACATATATGAAAATAAATGGAATGTCCCATTGGCCGGTGAATATATTTATGGATAACTGTATAAAAAAGGTTTGTACTGATAGAGATATAGTTGTCAGAGATGCCAAATATGATGTATTATTGCCTAAGAACCCAAATGATTTGCAGTGACTGTTAGATAGATTGTATAATGCATCAAGCAATTGAATTTGAAAATTGATTACAAAAGAGTCAAAGGTGTTGAAATAAAAGCTATTGACAGAAACAGACCATGAAAAACATATGATGAGCAGGTAGCACTTCTAAATTCCTTTGTCTGTGATACTTTATCAGCTGTAATTTATGGCAGGTGAAACCCCCAAAAGTACAGAGTGGTCTTCTTTCATATCCAAGGGGAATAGGTAGATTGAAGGCACATTTTCCGCAAAGACAAATACTGTACAACAGTAAGAATGAGTTCACACATTACACTGACTACCATTTTTCCAGATCGGCAGTTTTAGCCAACATAAGGAAATTGCCTTATAGAAAAGGATGGAATTCCAGGTTTTGTGGTGGCTCAAATGAATTTACATTTCCTATACTAAAGCACAACATGGAGAGAATATATTTGTATTTCCAATTAGTTACTTTTCTGAATTTTATACTATAGTGCAATTCTTGGCTCAGACTCTGATCATTTATAGAACTGAAATAGTACCCTAGGAAAGCAAAGATGGCTTGTGCCTCCTTTGATTGGAGAGCCTGAACAAGAAGTTAAATGAAATCTAAAATAATTTAAAACATGCAAAGTCTATTTTGCTATTCCACCAGAGTTGTTCTACAGAAAACGATCAGGAATTAATAAGAAAAGAAATTGCTGCTGACTGAAAAAAGAGGGGATTGGGTATTTTTTTTTCCTTGTCAGTTTTAAGACCATTTACTTAGTGCTATTGCTAGGAAATTTGAAAACTGCCTGCATCCATATTCTTAAAAGTGAAAGGCCCACTTTCTGCTTTCTAATATATCCACGTGTCCCAAATATCTTGATGATTGATTATAATTTAGAACAATTAATCAGGGGAATGATTTGCTTCCAGAAGTTGTGGGTGCTCCGTCATTGGAGGTTTTTAAGAGCAGACTGGACAACCATAGGGTTTAGATTGAAGGGGTATAGGGTTTTTTGCTTGAGCAGGGGTCTGGATTAAAAGACCTCAAAGCTCCCTTCCAATTCTGTGATCTTTAATCAATATTTTACTAGTTGCAAATCTTAACCCTAAGAGGTTTTTAAGACAAGATTGCACATCATCTATCCAGAATGGTATAGAGCAGGGGTAGGCAACCTTGGCTCTTTTATGACTCGTGGAGTTGAAGTCCATGAGTCATAAAAGAGCCAAGGTTGCCTACCTCTCCTGCTTGGCAGCAGGTTGGACTAGAAGACCTCCAAGATCCCTTCCAACTTTGTTATTCTGCATTCTATCTTTTACCTCTTTATAGATTATATTTTACCTCTCTATAGATCAGTGGTTCTCAACCTGTGGGTCACGACCCTTTTGGGGGTCGAACGACGCTTTCACATGGGTCGCCTAAGACCATCGGAAAACATATATTTCCGATGGTCTTAGGAACCGAGACATTGTTCTTTCATCCGGCCGCTGCCACCCTCCTCCTCCTCTGCTGGCTCCTCCACCTACAGGGCGCCCTTCTCCTCCGACAGCGCCTGCTCCTGCCGTTGCAGTGCCATCCCGCGGCAGCCATGCCGACTCCCAGCTGCTGGCCGGGAGCCGGGCCGACTCCCAGCAGATTTCCAGGAGCCAGCCCGACACGCGGAGGCTGGGCCGACTCCCAACTGACGTGCGCACGCCGGGCCGACTCTCGGCTGTCGGGAGCTGGGTGGTGTGTAGCAGGCCCCGCCGGTTCCCCACCAATGTCTAAATGCCAACCCGACTCTCAGCTGACTGTTGGGAGTCGGACGGTGCTCATGGGGGCCATGCGGATGTTGGCCGGCTGCTGGCTGCATCCTCCCCGGCTCCCAGCTCATGGCAAGCCCAGGGGCTTGACACGCACCCCGACACCGCCTCGGGCCAGCTCAGCTGCATGGGTGGCCAGTCCAAGCCGGGTCTGGGCTACTGCTGGTGCTGCCGCTGGGCTGCTCCACCGCTGCCGCCGCTGCTGGCTGAGCTGAGCTGCAGTGCCAAGCCGGACC